TGCTTTTGCTGTCACTGCCTGGACCTTACTTATTGTTTGGATAACTAGAGGGTTTTGGTTTCAACTCTTGATATGCCATCTTTCACAGGTTTCCTGAAAACTGAGTAGATGTGATTTATTCCCTAGTTTGGGGTCTACTTGTGAGAGTCAGTAAATGTGAAACATTAAACTTGGCTCTGTAGCATTGCGCGCTGGAATCTGCAGTTGGATTCAAACCAAGAATGATGGCTCTCATTCCTCATGCTGCCTTCAAAATATCAGTAGTCCTGTGGCACTTCAGAAACTAACAAATATATTCACTCATGAGCTTTTGGGGGTAAAACCCATATCAGATGAAGTGGTTTTTTTCCCATGAAAGCTCATGATAGAATATATTTGTTAGTCTTTAATGTACCACAGCACCACTCATTGTTTTTAAAGATACAGACTAACTCAGCTACCCCTCTAAGACTTTTTTAAAATATCAGATTAGTATTAGCAAGTAATTGGATTTGAGCACATTGAAGAGTAATCTTGCTTTCTCTAGTATGAGAAAATCTTATCGTCCAGGCCTGTGTTTTTCTTGAATGGAAACAGTTCAGCATACGTTCATTGCATATATGTGGCTGGCTGGCTGCGTCAGTATATTCCAGTGGTGTCAACAGGCGTAGATGCAAGAGAGACGTATAAATTCCTTCTTATACACAGTAGTAGTATGCAAAGTTTGGAGCAGCACTTGTTTTTTAAGGAAAAAGGAAGAATAACTGTCATGGTCACAAATATGTGGTTTGGATAGTTCCCCAACAAGTCAGAGGTTGCTTAATAAAGTAGTTAGTGTTTCTGTACTGAACAGGACTTCTGTCTCTACTGCAAATGCTATGCTGAAGCTCTGGGAAAAGATCTTTTAGTATTTAACTAACACATTAATGGCATCCTCGGAAATACCTATGTATCATCAGTGGGTAACCTACATACTTCCATTAGAGAAAACCATTCTCCATGTGAATCTAGTATGGCATGAGAGCTACTAACTTGGCCATAGTTGGTTCCAGGCAAGCGTTTTGCTATCAGAGTCACAATGAATCCATAGCAGCAACAATGGACGTAGCTGCACGGGAGAAAAACAAATCGCTTCTCCCTTTGATGCATTTGCCAAACCAACATTAGTAAGCAGTCAACTAAAATCTGAAAGCATGAATATAGCTCTTTTGAGGCTACCATGTTAACAAAATGTGCAGCTAATAAAAGGTGATCTTGAGGGCTGAATTTCCAAGGTAGTCTCTCATGGAGATCCCTAGAATAATATCCATAAGCCCATTGTGCCCTCAACCCCCTATCTGTGCACAAATCAGGTCAATGTAGATACAAATAAAATAGTTTAAAATAATTTCCTTTCTAAACTCACCTGCCAAGATCTGATTTCAGCAATTAATTACTGTATATCACTGATACTTTAAAAAGGTGTTTCTCCAAGTGGGCCATGGGTCTGCTTTGGGGAAACTGCTAGTGGGTCCACGCTGCCTTGTTTACTTAAAGGCTCCAAAGCCATGGCGCCTCATGGCTCCCATTGGCTCTGGTTCACCATTTCCAGCCAAGGGGAGCTGCGGGAAGCAGGGCGGCCCAGGCCATTTGGCTGGAAACAACAAACTGGGGCCAATGGGAGCCATGAGGCTCCGTGGTTACAGAGCCGTTAGGTAAACAAAGCAGCACATGCCTGCTAGCAGCTTTCCCAAAGCGGGCCCGTGGCCCACTTTGAGAAACACTGCTTTAACACATTGTAGAGAGTGAACTCAGCTCAGTCTTGGCAGGTACAAAACCTTTCCATTCAACTCTGACTAAGCTTATTTACCATTAACAGAAGTTTTGCACACACATTATCATTTACTTTTATCATTATGTTGCCTAGGGTTTTGCAGCCAAGTTAGAGGACAGGGCCTCTGGGCCAAGAAGCTAACTCTCTAAATAAAGAGATCAGTAACTGAAGGGCATAAGAGATCCCCAAAGCAAATGAAGGCTGAATATCAGCACCAATTGTGTTATCCATTGCAATTTGTGCAGCCCTGAAAACACAAAGTATTGTACAGTGAATTGTCTGTGCCAGAGATGGTTTACCAGCTGGCATCACACACTACCATCTAGAAATAGCATGTGCTAGGGAACAGGTTTTTAGGAGGCTTTTGAAGCAGGAAAGGATATCTCTGTGTATATTGGCATCTGTTGATAATGGGTACACAGTGGGTGAGGTAGAAAGCATGAAGTTGTATTGGGAAGAGACAGTGGGTGTGTCTAGACTACAGGGCTTTTTCGAAAAAACTTCCCCTGCGTCTAGACTGCCATCACGTTCTTTCGAAATTAAATCGAAAGAACCCGGTGGTTTTTTCGACCGCAATAAACCTCATTTTACAACCGGTGTTTTTTTCGACTGCAATAAACCTCATTTTACAAGGAAGAACGCCTTTTTTCGAAAGAGAGCATCCAGACTACCTGGGTGCTCTCTTTTGAAAAAGCGGCTCGCTTTTTTGAAAGAAGAGGTTGTAGTCTAGACGCTCCTTTTCAAAAGAGGCTTGTCGTCTAGATGTAGCCAAAGGGATGACATGTACTCTTAAAATTGTAAAGCATGATCAGGCCTGATCCAAAGCATGCAGGAGTCAAGGGAAGTCTGTCCACTGACTTCATTGGACTTTGGCTCAAACTTTTGCGCATCCTATCAGAGCAAAAGATGCTAGAGATGGAGATAGATAGCCGTTGATTTTTTTGGCACAATTTTCATCCCAATTTTTTTCTTTCTTCTTCTAGGTACTCAGTTTGTATAACACCATAAATCCAGAAGCATCTGCCTCGCCATGCTGCGTGTCCCAGGATTTAGAACCCCTCACCATCCTGTACTACATTGGCAAAACACCCAAAATTGAACAACTTTCCAACATGATTGTAAAATCTTGCAAGTGCAGCTAAAAGATATCCCTGTACAGCAATAATAAAATGCATAAAAATAACCAAGGAAAAAAGAGATTAAGAAGAAAAAAGAAAACTTAGGTTCATCAGTGTTAAAAAAAAACCTAAAAAGAAGAAGAAAGTGGTATTCGTCTGAACTGTTTGAAAGTTTGTTTTGTTTTTTAAAACTTGCATCTTTGAATCAAAACATTGATGGCCTTTATCCTACATTTCACCTGCTCAGTTAGTGAGATAAACAAGAAGCAAACAAAAACCAAAATCATCATCATCATCAACAACAACAACAAAAAGAACCACACCTTTTAAAAATAAACACTGGAAGAATGTGTTAGTGTTATTATGTGAAAGGAAAAAAACAGGAAAATCCCATTAAGTGGAGTTGCTGTATCTGTCCCATACCTTACTTGATCTCTCTGTATTGTTATGCGATAGACATCCTACCCATTCTTTTTAGTTTTAGCATTAACAGTGCATTATTTATTTGTATGTAAAAACTATCAAATGAACATTTCTTCGCCATTGGGGAAAAAAAAGAAACATGGAAAAAGTGGAGACCAAATAAACTGCCAGAAATATGTTTAATGCTTAGGGGAACTCAAGGTCAAAAGATCCTGAAAATAGTGGTTAGTTTATTCCATTGAAATAGAAGTCAGTTATTACATTATTGAGAAAATCTGCCTTAAAAATGCCTTATTTTACATGCCAGTGGCCTAGGGAGGCTTCTTGTAAGGTCTCAAACCCTTGTTTTTAAATCCTGAAAAAAATTACTAATAAAGGATGCTCTATTTCCGTCTCAAAGACAAGTCTATAAGATTTTTTTTTGTTGTTTTACTGTAAATGGTTAAAATGTCAGTTTAGTAAACCAGTGAAATATTTAACACGTATTGGTCTAATCTTCAGACCTTAATATGTTGCTATATAGCTATGCTATGGGATGTTTTGTTCCTTTGATATTACAATAGGTGGGTAGTAAAAGTATTACAATAGGTATTACAGTAATACAATATAGTATTACAATAGGTGGGTAGTAAAAGCCAGCTTAATTGGAAACATATCTGTAGATCTCTATTGTAAACTATTAAAGAAATTAAGTACTTTATGTGTAACGTGTAAACTTTCCACCATATTTTTGTATTCTGTAATACTGTCAACTCTCATGAGTTTGAATTTGAATTGGGGGCTCTTTTTTTGATCACTCAGTCATGTTTCCCTCTAGCTGGCCAGTATGAGCAGAGTCCCTATATTTTGACTTGCACTACAAATACATGTTTTATAATAATTTGCTATACATGTGCTTTGTATATTGATCATCATTATGACATAAGCTACCTGACTCCATTTGTGTTTTGTTTTACAAAAAGGGTAGATTAAAATATTCTCCTTCTCCCTTTCCCCTCATCCTAGTTCATCCACATTTGTAGCAGTGAATTGCAATGCGACTAAACCCAATTTTGGTTTATTTTCTTGGCTAAAGAGAATCAAAGAGATGGATAAGGAAACAATATTTTCAGGACAAGCTGTCATAGCCTAACTGATATGAGGCTAGGGCTCAGCCCTACAAACCTTCACACAGAGGGAAATTCACTATTGTGAAGAAGGCCTGCACATGCATCACTAACACCCTCAAAACAAGGTTTCTGTGGAACTTAGTTTACAAGCCTTCTGTTGCCCTTTGGCACAGCAGTGATTTTTTTCACCTGCAGTCAGTCTGTAGGAATGATCCTGCTCCCTAAGTGGTCAATGGCAAAACTTCTGCAGACCTGTATAGCAGCAGATGAGGCCTATTGAGATTCTTGGCAGGTGGAAAGATTTGGTGGATCTAGCCCTGTGTCTGTAAATTTTGTCTAACTTTGTTTATTTTTTTTCTTCAGATAACACCTTCTTTTCTTTTTTCTAACAAAAGGAACATAAGGCTTCTAGGACACTGCTTTGGGCCTTAACAATCTTCAGAGTACTCTAGAGGAAGTAAAAAAGTTCTACATTGAATGTGTTGTTTAAAAATCACTAAATAGCAACAGATCCCTAAACTAGACAAAGATGTATGAAAACATTAAAAGAAACAGTTTGATTGAGTTCATACTATAAATTGTTATGAGTGGAAAAGCTTGAAGACTGTGCGTGGAAATATGACAATTGGATATAACTGGTACATTCCCTCAAATACAAGACAGAGGGTGAGATCCTAGCTCCATTGAACTCACTGGGAGTTGACTGAAACGTGGCCAGGATTTTATCCCTGAAGCTTTCAAACAAAACACAATCTTCACTAGGTTAATTTGAAGTTAGGATAATGTGACTCCAGTCACTTCAGCAGAGCAACACTGCTGTAAAACTGAAGTAACACCGTGGAGCATCAGGCTGCAGGTCTGGATTTTGCTCCTTTAATTTACATAGACGTTGACTGAGATAAAAATGTAGCCCTGTGAATAATCTGACTGTGCCAATTGTCTCAGTGGAGAAGAGGTATATGAGGTGTTGTATGAGTGTGTGGTTCTTTCATTATTTACCAAATTGAAGTTAACAAATGATGGGTCCAGTCTTTGCAGGATCTATACTTATTCTCCTGAAGAGACCTGTGGAAATCAATGAAACACTCTTGAGACAGAAAGTACTGTGACTGCTGGCATTTGCAGTATTTAGCCCTAATCTGTTTCATGAGCTTCAATATCCAAATTCTGTGGATGGAGAGGAGGGGTCAAGGGCAACTTAAAAAACTTGGCAACTTAAAAAAACACCCAACTTGATGTTTATCAATTAATCACGGCAAAAGTCTGGTTTGGAAGCTTTCTGATTTGAAGGAGCAGGATCTGAGATGCCATTCGTGTGCAACTGCACTCAAAATGCGCTGGACGCAATCAACAGTTAGAGCTTGGGAGTGAGGGGGTATGTTTTTTCAATTCTATGTATAATGCCTTATAATTGTGTTATAATAGGTCATTTCCCCCAAATTGGATGAGTTGTTTTGTATTTTTTTTCCTCAGAAATGCACTGATAGTATTTGAAATGTTCTATTTGACAGTTCCTAAATCTTTTCTTTTTTTGGTTTGTTTTTAGACATATATTTCCTGGTAGTGAATAAGGACGTTGGGCCTGATCCTACAAAGTGCAGACAGAGCTCCTGTGGGATGAAAGTCACCCCCATACAGAAAGAGAGTGGGGGGGAGGGGACAGGCATAACGTAAGTCCCGAGCAAAGCCTCTGAATGAGGTATAAGTGGAAATAAAGAGGTGCGTATTGTAGGACTCCTCTATGAGGTGCTGTGACCCCCTCTGCTTGCATTGAAGACAGTGGGAATTAAGGATACTCAGCACTGGGCAGGAGATACTCAGTACCTCACAGGATCAGATTCGGGGAGGAAGGGGGGCCGAATAACAAAGCACTTAGCTGGTTGGGTTAGGACAGTATTTTTGTGTGTGTTTAAAGCAATACAATTGTATGGACAGCATATTTTTAAAAAAAGAAACATAAGAACAGCTGTGTTGTATTTTGATGACCGATTACCTTGTATCTTAACATAGTGTATGTCTGTTTTTTTGGTGCTCTAGTGGTAAATAAATTATTTCAATTATATGCTTATGTCACATTCGTATGGCAGTCTTCTTCTGACATAAGAAATCCCCCAGTTCAGTACTATATGCCTCAGCCTAGTGTGGAAAGTAATTTTTGTATACTTGTTTTCTGTGGTCTAAATCTAACAAAAATTCCTCTGAATGGATGTATCACACCTTTGCACGGCTTTAGTGCAAAGATTACAGAATCCATGCCGTGTTTTTTTTCTTTCATTGCAGTATAAATACAGGCGTAGTGATTGACAGAATACTGTTCTAGGTGAATGTAGTATCAGCAAAAGGTGTTCTGGATTGACAGTCCTGAAGGATAAAATCTGCTGCCTTCAGAGAACAGTTACAACATAGGCAGTGGCATTGCAAACCTCTGTTACACCTCCTCATCACTGTGTCCAGACCCTGATCTGCACTGTGCACAGTCTAGACCGTCCCTATGGACCGTCCCTAATTAGTCATTAGTTTGTGGGGAGGGGAAGGATGTTTCCCTGCTAGGTCATGGGTTTAAATCCAGACCAAGTCAACCTAGCGGTGACAAAGTAATTTCTATTTAGATTAGTTCAGCTGTGCTAGGGGAAGTAAGAAGAGGATCTAATCCACTTCTTGATCCATTTGACAAATGCTCACACCCAGCTCAGACCCCTAGGTAGAACTCATTGAAATTGTACAGTGTTCACATGGATGAGCCACATAGTCATTGTGAACTCCTGCTTTATGCAGTTTCCCACACAGTCTCATAAGAGGTCAGACTCCGGCCTGCTCTTACCTCTGTCATCTGTTGGCTAAGTGCTATACTCTACTTACAAACCGCTGTGTTTATAGTGGTTTGTTTAGAGCGGAGAAATAGTTACATGGCTCTATTGCTCTTGACAAGTAATCTGATTCCACTGTTTGTTATGAGAAGAGTCTTTCCCAACCCATTCTGCAATTTGCAATCACGTCATCTGAGCAAATAAGAATGAAGGGGGCCCAATAACTCAACTTTGCTTCACCAGCCTTAGTCACTTAAATACACATCACTCAGGTGAGGGATGGTCCCAGAACTAGACAGCAATGTTTTAAGATTAATTTATTAATATTGTATATTAAAAAGTGTTTTCCAGCATAGAAGCTGACCCTAAGAAGTGAAAAGCAAGTGTAATTGCTGTTGATTTCAGTGGGAGTCAAGGAGCTAGCCAGGACATATTATGCACCCCTAGATGATGAAGGAAAAACCCACCTGTTTGTACCTGGTTATTTATCACACTTTGCTAATAATAGTCACAATCCTTGAGGTCCATGTGTTATCTAAAAAATCAGGTTTGGGATAAACATTTTGGGGTGAGTCTATATTTTACACTGGTTGATTTTCATTAATTTCAGCGGCGTTACACTGACAAAACTGCAGTAATGTAAAACTATCGGGCCTTTAATTTTCATTTTACTCATTTATATGAAGGTCTGCTGAAAGATGCTGCTTCTGACGTAAGAGTGCTAATAACAGGATCTTCCAATTACTTACCAAAAAAGTAACCCATACACATTCTTACAGAGCACCTGTTGGTTAAAACACTTTGAAGCCCTGGTTTCTCTTTCTCCTGGGCTGGGGGTGGGGAAATAATGGGGAATTTTAGTTGGAAATAAGTATACTGACGGTGCGTGTAATTAGAAGGAAACAAAGTAGACAGAACAGAATGTCCTGAGAAAACATTTTATGATGTGGGGCTGAAAAGTGAGACCTGCCCCTTCAGA